TGCGGGACTCGATCCCGGGACTCCAGGATCATGACCTGAGCTGAAGGCAATCGCTTAACCAACTGAGCCACCCATGCGCCCCTGTCCAGTGCTTTTGTAGACTCTTCTACTGAGCTGTCTTTTTCTCTTTTGTAGAAGTTTGAAAAAAAAATACTCTAGATGTATGAACAGCTTTAAAAAATCTCCCCTCCCTCCCAACAGCAATAACAAAAGAAAATTCAAATGCCTAGTCAGAATCAAACACTAAGTGTATAGAGACAGACATACAGTATTTTATTTATAAACTCACCCTGTTCAGAGTCTTCCAACAGAACCCCTCTTTTAACCAGCTCTTCTCTCGGTTTTCGCATAGATATTTTTCGCTCTAAAACTTAATATTAAATTGGAAAACAGCACTCAGAAATGTGTCAGTTAAAGGTCAATTTTAAGCATTCTAACTCAACAGGTAAAAGAATAAAGTGGTTCAATTTTCTGTTCTCTGTAAAGAACAGGAAAACTAATTTCAAATTTAAAAATAATTTCTTTCATATCCTATGTTATTAGGAATGCAGCATTTTCAAAAGGAACTATCCTTATATAATTTTAGCTCTTTCTTTAATTGTCATTTCAGTAGGGGCTCCTGGGTGGCTCAGTTGTTAAGCTCTGCCTTCGGCTCAGGTCATGATCCCAGGGTCCTGGGATCGAGCCCCGCATCGGGCTCCCTGCTTGGCGGGAGGCCTGCTTCTCCCTCTCCCACTCCCCCTGCTTGTGTTCCCTCTCTCGCTCTCTCTCTGTCAAATAAATAAATAAAATCTTTAAAAAAAAAATTGTCATTTCAGTAATAAGGTATTTGTTGATGAACTTTTTCTGAAAGTGGTCAGAGTAGGAAAAAAAGCATCTTAGATTTTCTACCATTCAGGAACTCCATTCACCACTTGATAAACTTTAATCCCATCAAAATAGCAATCTGGGGATGAGACTATAGTATATAAGACTTAATGAGTGACCACTTGGTTTTATTCCTAAAAGACTGAATTCCCTCTTCAAACAGGGGGTTATAGAAGCTTGGGAAGAGAATGAGAAAGTTAGATACTTCTAAAATAAGAAACTCTGTAACTCAGAACATATATTTAAATCTTAATGTCTCACCTTCTGATGTCTCTTTGAATTTATCACTACTTTTTTTTTTCCGCCATTTCCAGGGCTTGAAGATCTTGCCAAAGCCTGAGAACTTGCTCTTCCTTTTGGTGGGAGGCGTTGTGTCTCCTGCTTCCACACTGTCCATGACCATGCCTGGGTCTGCGGTGGGCTGGCTTGCTTCTTCTGTAGTATAGTGAAAGGCACACAGGGAAAAGAACAGCCAATTTATTATGTCAGCATAATTTTTAAAAGGTCCCTTCCTGTGGTAGTTCAAAAGGATCAGAGCAATGATAAACAATCATGCAGACAGATTCCTTGACATCACACGGACACCAAACATCAAAATCCATAGCAGATAAATTACTAAGAGGGAAAAGGAACCAAACCAAGCTGACATCATTTTAGGACAAAAATTCAATGAGATGATCATAACCAGCTCAAAATCTCTTAAAGGCACGCACACACACACGTCTTTTCAATATGCATGAGACCTTGCCCCAGTGCGGCCTATTGCTGTTGCCATTCTCAACCTCTCGGCACAGGGGAGGCCTCCCCAGCTAACATTACTGCCTCTGGTGTCACTGAAATGGGGAGTTCCCTCTTTAGTGAGTGAGTCATCATTCTCTACTAAACACTCCCCTCCCCCTGCCCTCCTCTTTCAGGACATTAATAGTTCAGAGGGGGTAAAATGTTAACACCTTACTTGTATCTGTTTTTCAGATTATTTTTTCCCTTCACAAGACCCTAAGTTTGGAGCACTGGAAGGAGCCTGGAGCTGGGGCATTACAGAGAGTGCTTTAAAGTGTAATCTTTTTGGAAAGAAGAGGTGGGATTCCAGTTTGCTTATCACAATAGTACATTAGGGACAATCATGATCTTAAGGATATGACAAAAACCATAACTGGCACGGTATATGTGCGGGACTGAAATGAAAATGAAATGAATCCCTCATAATGACCACACATGCAGGGTTTAGTTAGTTAGCTTTAGTGGCAGAGAAAGGAGCAGCCAAGACTGGGCCAAAAATAATAATAATAAAATAAATAAAAGCAGGAAAGCAACAAAAAAAGCAGGAAGGCAACACAATACAGCTTTGCACTCCACCTACTGTCCCAGGGTTCTCTGGAGAAGTCTAGAGGAGAAGAAAAAAAGAGTCATGTGGAATAACCATCCTGGAATTAAAGTGGAACCTTTACTTTACAGAAATACATCAAGGACCACATACTATATTATCACATGTAATAAGTTAACATGCTTATTGTACACAATTTTACATCTGAAGCAAATAACGCTCTTTTTTGGGGGGCTAAATGGGCATAATATATGCACTAAAAAAAGTTTCCTTTAAAACTGTAGTTTTTCGGGGCGCCTGGGTGGCTCAGATGGTTAAGCGTCTGCCTTCGGCTTGGGTCATGATCCCAGGGTCCTGGCATCGAGCCCCACATCGGGCTCCTGGCTCGGTGGAGAGCCTGCTTCTCCCTTTCCCTCTGCCTCTCTCCCTGCTCATGCTCTCTCTCTCTCTCTCTCTCACTGTATTTCTGTGTCTCAAATGAATAAATAAAATCTTTAAAAAAACAAACTGTAGTTTTTAATAAAATACACAATCAACAAGAATTTATTATTTTTTCTTAAGAAACAGTTGCCAAGGGCGCCTGGGTGGCTCAGTTGGTTAAGCGACTGCCTTCGGCTCAGGTCATGATCCTGGAGTCCCGGGATCGAGTCCCACATCAGGCTCCCTGCTCAGCGGGGAGTCTGCTTCTCCCTCTGACCCTCCCCCCCTCATGCTCTCTATCTCAAATAAATAAATAAAATCTTTAAAAAAAAAAAAAAAAGAAACAGTTGCCAAATCCAATCTTTTTCAGTTGATAGATGTGAGTCTAGGGAAACTTGCTGATGAAAGTCAGATTTACACAATTGTCATGATCAGAGTGACTGCAGCAGTGACTGCTGGATGCATTATTTTGCTGTATATTGATGACTTAGGCCAAACAGGGTTCTGGCTACTGAAGTGCAACAGATGGAGACGAGAGGACAATGACTCTTTTCTTCCTAGTTGCATGATTTACTTGAACACATCCTGGGTCTCAACTACTCTAATTCCTTCCATGAAATGCAAGAGAATCTAGTTATTATAACGCCAGACCGTATTTGTATAAGTTTACTTGCAGAGACATCAGAACAACTCCTGTCACAGCAATTTCCCCTCAGTGGTACCCGGGATGCACCCCCAGGAGTGGCATGTGGGTGAATACGTGGTATCCCTTTTAAGAGTCAGTGCTTTAAGACTGTAAACTCCCAATTATAAAATGTCAATGAGACCTCAAGACATTGCAGATATATCATATAATATAATATTTAGCATATGTTAATGATGACACTTTCAGAAATGGAGCTAAGCACCACCAGGTGTTCATAGTCATCTTACTTGCTAGAGGCAAAAGGAGGAACTGAAATTTGAAATATCCTGCTAACCCACCCACCGAATAGACGTTACTCAGTTCCAAATGATACACAGGAAAATGCCTGTTTGATTAAAAGTAACAGGGAAGAGAATATAAAAACTCAAAAAACAAAACAACAAATTAACAATATGAAAGAAGAGGTGAGTGCTATGTGATACTTTTACAAAGAAAAACAGCCAGAAAGCTTGAGGGGTGTTAGGTGAGAACGGATCACAGACAAGTTCCTGTCTGTCAAGTTCCTCAATGAGATACAGCCAATCTAGCCAGGGAGCTAGTTATTCGTCTTCCAGATTTAATTACGTTAATGTACACTTGGAAATATGGTATATCGTGCAGTTTAGGGGGTAGTGTTCTACATCTGCCTATGAAGTCAAGTCGTTTAATCACATTATACAAATCATTAACATTCTTTCTTTTTTGTTAGCTTGTTCTATCAGTTACTGAGAGAGGTATCTTAATAGCTCTACCTATGAAAATGGATTTGTCTCTTTCTCTTTTTAGTTCTATTAATTTTTTGCTTTATATACTTTAAAGCTACATTATTGGGTATGTACAAATTTAAAGTTATTATATCTTTGTTAAATTACCCTTTTATCATTATGAAATTCCTTGTGTCAATCTAATAACACTTTGCCTTGATTTTGTTTTTCTATCTAGTTTGACAACTGTTGTCCTTTAGAATGCTTAGTATAGGGGCGCCTGGGTGGCTCAGTCGTTAAGCGTCTGCCTTCGGCTCAGGTCATGGTCCCAGGGTCCTGGGATCGAGCCCTACATCGGGCTCCCTGCTCGGCAGGAAGCCTGCTTCTCCCTCTCCCATTCCCTCAGCTTGTGTTCCCTCTCTCGCTGTGTCTCTCTGTCAAATAAATAAATAAAAATCTTTAGAATGCTTAGTACATTTATATTTAATGTTTTTCCTGACACAGTTGGGTTTAAGTCTACTGTTTTGCTATTTATTTTCTATTGCTCTGATTTGTTCTGTGCATCCTTGACTTATTAGAATCTACAGTGTTAGTGCTTTATTTACTTAACAAACAATGCAAGAAACTTGAAACATTTCAACTCTATTTACTGTGTTGTTATATTTTATTTCTACATAGACATAACAATAAACCACAGCAAACATTATTATTGTTGTTGTTTTAACAAATGATATTCTTTTATATTTCTTACATATTTGCTTTCTCAAATAATCTTTATTTCTGTAATCCTGTGCTTATAATTAGGATAATTTTTAAAAAGATTTTATTTATTTATTTATTTTGAGAGAGAGAGAGCGCACGCACATGTGAGCACACAGGGGTGGGGGGAGGAGAGGTAGAGAGAATCTCAAGCAGACTCTGGCACTGAGTGTAGAGCCCGATGTGGGGCTTGATCTCAGGACCCTGAGATCATAACCTGAGCCGAAATCAAGAGCCAGATGCTTAACTGACTGAGCTACCCAGGTGCCCCATGGGAATCTACTATAGAATTTAATTTGGGAGTGATGTGGTTAGATTTGCAACTCGGGCTTGAGTGTGGAAAGAAGAGTGGCATGTGGAGAGAGGCAAGGCTGGAGGCTTGTGGACTCCTGCAGAAATCCTGGTGAGAGATGATGAACGCTTAACTGACTGAGCCACCCAGGTGCCCCTACAATTAGGATAATTTTATATCATCATTTTTGAAGGATATTTTCACTGGGTATAGTATTTTCAGTTGGGATTTGAGTTATTTTGTTTATTTAATTGCAACACCTTATAAATGTCATTTAATTGGCCTTTTCCCTCCCACTGGACTGCTTTTCTTTGTATATTTCATTCTTTTGATGCTTTCTCTTTGCCTATAGCATAATATAGGTGGGATTCAAATCCAAGTCTCTGACTTTATTTATTTATTTTTAAATTTTATTTATTTATTTGGCAGAGAGAGACAGCTAAAGCAGGAACACAAGCAGGGGTAGTGGGAGAGGGAGAAGCGGGCCTCCCACCGAGCAGGGAGCCCAATGCGGGGCTCGATCCCAGGACCCTGGGATCATGACCTGAGCCGAAGGCAGACGCTTAACGACTGAGCCACCCAGGTACCCCTATTTATTTATTTAAAAAAAAAATAAATATAGGTGGGATTCAAATCCAAGTATCTGACTGTATTTATTTATTTGAAAAAGAGAGAGAGAGCACAAGCAGGAGCAGGGTGAAGGGCAGAGGGAGAAGGAGACTCCCCACCGAGCAGGGAGCCCGATGTGGGACTCAATCTTGGGACTCCGGGATCATGACCTAAGTCGAAGACACTCAACCAACTGAGCCACCCAGGCGACTTTAAAAGTCTACTATCCTTTCAATCATGCTGCCTTCAGAATAAAGATTAAGCTGAAATCTTACAAGTCTTTCCAACATCCGGTTTCATTCATTAACAAAAGTTTTTAGAATATAATTTACTAAGCTGGCACATAATATGATTTAATTTTTACAACAACATGATGACTGGTATTAATCTCTATTTTAAAGATTTTATTTATTTGAGAAAGAGAGAGAGAGAACATGAGCAGGGGGACAGGAAGATGGAGAGAGAGAGAACCTGGAGCAGACACTGCACTGAATGCAGAGCCCAACGCAGGGCTCGATCCCATGACCAGGAGATCATGACCCCGGCTGAAACCAAGAGTGAGATGCTCAACTGACCAAGCCACCAGGTACCCCCAATCTCTATTTTATATAATTTAACAAGTTTGGTATTCATCTCAAATAT